TGCCTACGGAGCAGATGCGAGGGGAAGCCACAGGGAGAAAGTAAAAAGGAAACTTGAAAAGATGCTTTTGAGGCGAAATGCTTTGAATACGTTTCAATGATTATTTGAAAAATTAGCAAACTGAGTCGTTTTCCTCTTCCTTACACCTGTTGTCTTGTCATGTCGTAGGCTCTGTACGCGTGGCATGGGCTCTGAGGTTTGTCCGAGACAGCGCTTTCCCTGAAGAACCAGCAGTTGGAAAATTACATCATTCCTAAATTTTTAAGGGCTGAAGTCAGCAGAGAGCCAAAGCATCACAAAGCAGAGGTTCGCTATCACCCGAAACGCCTGTGAGCACGCGTGCAAAGCCGCTGTGCAGGCACAGATGCCCGGCTCCCTGCTGCTTTCGCTGGAACCACCCTGTTCTTCGAGCACCCCGGGAAGCGCGTGCCGTTCCTCCCCTGCGGCCAGCACTGGAAACACGGGGCGCTCGCCTGGAAACTGCGCAGGGGAGGGTGACGGCGCCTTTATGAACGCACAAGCCCTTGAGCCAGGACACCCCGAAGACGCATGGGCTGGGCAGGACCGAGCTCCCCAGTGCTCCCGGACCCCAAGTGCCTCCACCAGCCTCCGGCACACGTGCCCAGCAGCGCACGAGCATAAACTTAGCAACGCTCGGCTGTAAACATAGGAGCTGTTTAAGTGAGCGAACTGGGATGGGGCAGACATGAGTGATAAAGTCTGGCAGGGTGTCAGGCAAGAGCTGCAGCTCGATCCACCACAGCCACCCGCCGGCACCCATCCGGCCTCTGATTCCCCTCATCCGGAATGATAACAGCGCCGGCCAGGGATGCACTTCAATACTTCAAAAGGAGAAAATGTGATTTCTCTCTACTATTCAGAATTGAATTACAGAGAACAAATTGTATTTTGGCCTCGAGTTATATTGGTTTCATAAAAGTAGAAGAAGCTTCACCTACCTTTAGTGCTGAAGTCGTCCACCAAAATGACTTCTTCAATCAGATGTGGGGGAGATCTGCCGAGGACACTGTGAACGGAGCGCAGGAGGGTGGACCACACTTCATCCACGAAGCACATGATGATGGTGGTGGTTGGGAGGTCGTCGTGAACCCGCTGCTCAGAGCACCTGCAATGGTGACACAGGCTCACAGGCGATGGCCCGTCACACTCCTGAAAACCCCGGATCAAGTGTTCTGTGGGAAAACGCGCAGGGAGGGGGAAATACCAAACGGGAAACACAGAGGCAAAGGCCTGCAATGGGATTTTGTGGGGAGAGGGAGCAGAGGGGTGTGCAGGGGGAGCTCCTCACAGCCCTGCAGGGACAGGACACACTCACTCCATTCTAACAGGCACCTCTTTTTCCCTCCCTACCCCCCAGCGACAGCATCTCCTTTCTGTGCACAAACAGTGCACAGGCCCCAGGGAGCGTGGCTGATCCCAGCTCTGCACCACTGGCCCCGGGGACTGCTGCGGGGAAAGGATTCCCGTGCATTGGGTGCCCTCCGCAATGCTCCGAGCACCTGCAGGGCTTGGGATCCCAGGCTGCGCCAGCCTCGTCGGAAGAAAAGAATTGGTATTATGGCCAAAATGCAGGGAAATGGCCATTTCCATGAGGGGTTACTCAACACAACTTGTCAAACACGCAGACAGTGAGGAAGAGCTGCCCAGTCCAGCTTCTGCACCTGACTCAGGGCACCGCGGACGATGGGACAACATTCAAGTACCCAAATTTCACATAGGACGGTGCTGGCGAGTCTGCTCCCTGAGCACCCCATAGCTCATCCCCTGAGCACCCACACCTCCCCAGGGATGCCCAGCCGTGCCCCGAGCCCACGCGCAGGGGCTCCGAGCGGCACCTGCTTCCCTCACAAACAGCCAGCGACACGCGTCGGCGGATCCGAGAGAGCGATAAAATTTCTCCCATGTCTGAGTTTGTCATCTGATTCTGTGACGGCCAAAACCCGCTCGGTCTCCGAGCAGACCTCCAGGCTGCAGAACACCTGGCAGAGCGCTCCTCTCCCCCAGACCGGCCGCCTTATCCCAGAATACCCCCGAATCACTGGGACTTGCTTTCTCCCTCTCATCAACAAGCTGCAGTCTGATAGCAGGTTCTCCTCTCGTGTCCTTCCAGAGTGGACCTCCTGCAGCCAGGACGGGCACCTGCCTATCTGCGGATGAACTTCTCAGTGACGAAAAGACTGTTTGCTCTGGTGTCAACAACGGACAGAAAACAGGGACAGGTATATGGGAGCGTACAGAAAACCGACTTCTTGTTCTTCTGTCTCAATGAACAGGCCCTCGGGTTCGGCTGGTGCCGGCTCAGATGCTGCCCCTGGGCAGCCAGAAAGTGTCCACACGAAGCCAATGAGAAATCTCAAACTGAGCAACATCCTTTTCTCACTTCTTACCTAAAAAAGTAGAATTTCTAGGCAGAGAGCAATGGGTTTGTTATTGCTGACTCCCAGCTAAAGATATTTCACAATGTCCTGTGTGAGCTTGGGCTCCATTTCTTTGCTAGCTATGCACATATACGTACATCCACATATATATACACACATATATAATACTTAATATATATAACTAATGTTAAGTAGAAGTCAAATCCTTCTGAAATTCCTCCCTTAAACAGGTTTTTAAACAAAAATAGCCCAAAGCCTTTATGTTCTGCTGACATCACCCTGAAAGTCAGCAAAACATAGGCTCTTAAGTTGCTAAAGTTACTCTGGGAAAACGCCACCTTACATCTGCTGCCCCTGACTCTGGAAGCAGCCTGGCTTTGAAGACCCGAGCACAGGGGTGCCCAGTGCCAACCTCCCCCAGCTGGCAGGCGCAGCTGGGGTCCCTCCCTGCACCTGGTGGCATGGGTGCTGACTTACCCAGACCGTACCGTGTCATGCAGCGCACAACATTTTTTTTTGCCAGGCCAGGAAATCTGGGTCCCTGTCTAAACACGGTAACTTGATTGTCCCAGGGACCTTCGCTGCCAGTGCCACAGTGTTGGGCCGAACCGGGGCGCGGGGTTCCTGACACGGGCTCTGCAGGGAACAGTCCCTGCAAGCCTACTGGCCACCCCGGCCTGCAGCCACGTGGCTCACGCGTCTCACTCTTCCCTGGTGGGACTCCTCCAGCACGTGTCTCTGCAGAGGCACGGTGCTCAGCGAGCACCGGCACGGTAAGTAAAGCTCAGGAAGCAGCAAGTGCCGCACACGGACGGGCAGATTGAAGGCTGCAACAGGACAAGTTTCCTGTTGGCCAAATTTCAGCTAGTCCAGCACTCCAGCAAGGATCACAAGAGGAACTGGAGTCTGCTGGAAGAGACCAGGAGGATCCAGCAAAAAAGTAACGCGCTGTTGGATCACCAAGAGCAGCCAACAGTCATTGCTGCAAGCTGGCCCTTACAGCTCGATTTCCACC